AGAGAAACTTTCTGTGCCTCTGAGTCTCACCAGTTCCTGACCCCCAAAGGACACAAACCTGATGAGTTGTGGTTCCCACTCCAATGGTGGCACTTGGACCTCCCTCCATCCCCAGAGCAGAGCTCCCTTGTCCCAGAAAGTCCCTGGTAATGCAGGGATGAAGGAAACAGGACAGGCTGGGGGATCAGGGGCAGGGCACAGCCAGGGATTTGGGGTGGTTGTGAGCCCACGGCAGGACCCGGCCCTTGGCCTTGGTGAACCTCATCCAGCTGTCCTGGGCCCATGGATGGCTCCAGCCTGGCCAGATCCCTCTGCAGAGCTTCCTGCCCTCCAGCACAGCCACACTGCCACCCAGCTTGGGCTCACCTGGGAACTGACTGAGGGTGCCCTCAATGGCCTCATCCAGATCAGCAATAAAGAGATTGAACTGACCTGGCCAAAATCCTGAGCCCTGGGGACACCCCTGGATGTGACTCCATTCCTCAGCTGCTCGGAGTGCCAGGGGTTGGATGAGGGAAATGGTGGGGATGTGTTTCAGGAATGCAAAGGGCCAAGGCCTGAGCCCCAGCCCCTGGCCCAGCAGATCCTGTCCCTCCCTCCTTGCTCAGGGCTCTTCCCGGGATGGACACAAGGATGTGGGGATGTGCAATGGCAAGGGCAGGAGCATGGGGCGGCCCCTGCCAGGCTGCTGAGCAGGGACAAGGAGGCAATGAGGCCCCAGGCCTGCAAGGGTCACTTGTCCCCTCGTGGCCTCAGGCCCAGGCCCAGCAGCCATGGCCAAAGTGCTGCCCAAGTTGGCTCTGTCAGGGCTGTCTTGCAGCTGCTGCCCATCCCTGTGCCCTGTGCAGCCCAGGCTGTCCCACGGTGTCCCTGCCCTGTGCCTCTGTCCCTGCAGGCTGTCGGCATCCCCCGGCTGCCCCACCTGGCTGGGCCCTTCCTTTGCTGACAGCTCTGCCTCCTGCCTGCCTCTGCCTGCCCACACAAAGCCTTGGGCTGCTCCAGGCTCCTGCTGGGGACGTGCTGCACCACAGCCCTGCCCTGCCAGGGAAATTCCTTTCTCCTAGTGCCAGTCTGGGCCTCCCAAGCTGCACTTGGCATTAATTCTTTCTCTCTCTCGCTGTTTTCCACTATGTCAAAAGAATCCACCATCACTGAAATCGCTCTTTAAACACTCTCCTGGCTCTGCTCCACTGTCCTCAGTCTCCACCCCACTGAGCACAGAGCTCCTTTGTCCCTATACAGTGCTCATGTGCCCAAGGCCTCCAAACCCCTCCTTGGGACACCTCTGGGCCCTCTCCAAGGTGTTTCCAAATAATAACATTCAGCTCATAGTCTAAGAAAAGCACCAGAGGACAGGGCCAGCCTGACCTGTCTGTCCTGGCTCCTTTTGTCTGGGACCAATCCTTGGATATACAGAATTTGGGAGGCCAAATTCAAATTTTGGCCATGGTCCGTGGACAAGAAGGCTGGTTCTTTCCACAGGATAGAAGGAGCAGAGCCCCAGTGTTTCCAGGACAGATGAGAGGGGACCATCAGAGGCCAAGGCCAGCCAGAGCTGGCAGGTTTTATTTTGTGAGATACCCTTGCAAATAGGAATTTTTTAGGGAGAGTACCAATTTTGGCAATAGGCATCTGAAAAGGGGGACAGTTCTTTTCCATAGCAAGGAAAGCATGGAGCCCCAGTGCTCCAGGAGCTGATGAGAGACAGCCCTTGACATCCCAAGATCAGCCACAGCTGTCAGGTGGCCCCTGGGAGGCCAAGCAAGCCAGAGCTGTTCCATGTTCCCTGGGTTCCATGGGGCCCCACAGTGTCCCAATGGCCCCTTGCTTACAGGTGGCCCTGAGGTGTCATAATGCCCCCTTGGTGACATGAGACCCTGAAGGGTCACAATGGTCTCCAAGGTTCCATCAGGCCCCACAGAGCCATAATGGCCTCTGGGTCCATGAAGCCCCGCTGTGTCACCAAGGCCCCTTGGTTCCATGGGCTCCAGTGGTGCCACAATGATCCCCTTGGTTCCATGGGCTCCAGTGGTGCCACAATGATCTCCTTGGTTCCATGGGCTCCAGTGGTGCCACAATGATCCCCTTGGTTCCATGGGCTCCAGTGGTGCCACAATGATCCCCTTGGTTCCATGGGCTCCAGTGGTGCCACAATGATCCCCTTGGTTCCATGAGGTCCCCACAGTGTCCCAGGGATCTCCATGGGAAGGAAAGAACCCAGCCCCAGTGTTGCAGGGGCAACCACCAGAGGCCAAGGCCAGCCAGACTTGACAGTACAGGCAGATTTTGCTGGGAGCAACCCTTGGATATTAAGAATTTTAGAGGTGGAATCTCAATTTCAGCCATTTCTGCATGGATAAGAAGGATGGTTCTTTTCCATAGGAAGGAAAGCACCCAGCCCCAGTGTTTAGACAGCAGGGGAGAGGCACCCCCAGGAGCCCAAGGGCAGCCAGACCTCTCTGTCCTGGCAGCTTTCACTTGGGAGCAATCCTTGGATGTACTGAGCTTTGGAGGTGAAATCCCAATTTTGGCCATGGTCAAGATGGGTGGTTTTTTCCAAAGGAAAGTAAAGCACAAAGTCCAAGTGTTTTGGAAGCAGATGAGACGTGGCCACCCTCAGGCCAAGCCAGCCAGACCTGTCTCTCCTGGCACCTTTTGTTTAGGAGCTGTCCTTGGACATTGGGCATTTTGGAGGTGGAATCTCAGTTTTGGCTGTGGGTGCCTGGACAGGAAGAAGAGTTCTTTTCATTAGGAAGGAAAGCACAGAGCCCGAGTGTTTCAGAGGCAGATGAGGGCCAGTCCTCAGGAAGTCAAGGCCAGCCAGACTTGTCAGTCCTGGCAGCTTTTGTCTGGGAGCTATCCTTGGATATAAGGAATTCCAGAGGCAGTTGCCCAATTTTGGCCATGAGTGCCTGGTCGAGATGGATGGTTTTTTCCTATAGGAAAGAAAAGCAGATGGTCCCAGGATTTCAAAGGCAGATGAGAGGTGGCCCCAGGTAGCCAAGGCAGCCAGATCTGTCTCTCCTGGCAGACTTCATCTGGGAACAATCTGTGCATGTAAGGGAATTTGGAGAAGGAATCCCAGTTTTGGCCATGGGCCCCTGGAGGAGGATCAGGACAGTTCTCTCCCATAGGAAGGAGAGCCCAGAGCCCCAGTGCTTCAGGGGTAGGTGAGGAGCAGCCCTCGACATGCCAAGGTCAGCCAGACCTGTCCAGCAGCCCCCGGGAGGCCAAACTAGCCACATCTGCTCCCTGTCCCGTTGGTTCCATGGGGCCCCACAGTGTCCCAAGTGTCTCCTTGATTCCAGGAGTCCCTGCAGTGTCACAGTGTTCTCTTTTCTTCTGCAGTGTCACAATGGCCTCTTGGCTTCCCTGAGCCCTTCAATGTCCCCATGGCCCCTCAGCTCCCTGTGGCCCCGCTGTGTCACAACGGCTCCTTGGTTCCATGGGCCCCACAGCTTCATCCTTGGCCCTTGGTTCCATAGGGGGCCTGAGTTTCACAATGGTCCCCCTGATTCCGTGAGGCACCAGAGTGTCACAATGGTCTCTTTGCTCCCATGAGGTTCCATAGTGCCACCATGGTGTCCTTGGATCTGCATTGTCACAATGGCTCTTGGTTCCATGAGTTTCTGTTCTGTCAGCAATGGTTTCTTTGCTCCAGAGGGGCCTTGATGTGTCACAAGGGTTCCATGGTTGCGGTTTGTGTCTCATCCACACTGAAACCCCAGCAGTTGGTAGCCATGTGCATTTCTTTCTATAGAGCTTCTGTCCTCCTGTCTTTCTGTCTTCTCCTTCTAATGCTCTTGATATGGAACATTTTTTGGTACCTCAACAACTGAAGTGGTTAAACGTTTCCAGGTGCAACGGGCTGAGTTAAGGAAGTTACTGCTATGGTGTTTTATGTTGAATTAGATGTTTTATTAAATCTTTTTCCAAAGTTTCTTAATTTTCTGTACTTTGCCAGTAAAATTTTGTGTCATTTTGACCTCTTGAGAATATATGGTTGGTGTTTCTCCTGTGCACCAAACTCCAGTAAAGGAACCTTTGGTTATTGTGAGAAACGACTGCTGACTTTGAAAATTTTAAAAGGTTTATTCAACCTTAACAAAAATGACAAGAAAAGGACTAAGTAAGGAAGAACAGGCCTGGGAGCTTCCCTCGTGGCTGCCTACCACGTGCCTGGCTCATCCTCAAGATGGACGCTCCATCTTTTATACCCCGAGGATTGCATCAGCCAACCCTGGCCCCTCCCACAGTCTGTCAGTCAACTCTTCTTTGCTGTTTATTGGTGGAGTCTGCTTTCTTGCAGCTTGATTGGAGGGTCAGGTTGTGTCATGCCACGCCCCCTCCCCGAGAAACAAGTTTTTGTACTCGCCTTCTTTCCACTTGTCCTGGATGGCTCAGGCTGGCTGATGGTAACAATAGGGGGAAAGGGGACTGTGGGGAGAACAGAGGGCATCTAAACAACAGACTGCAATAACGTAATCACACATCAGTAAAGCTTCTCTTAATATTGACACAGTATTCATCCCTTAACTGCGAGAGCCAATCATCTCATTAGCCATCTGTAAGACAAAGGGACTAAAATCACCGTTAGAAGGCTTGGTTCAACCTAAAATTACCCAAAGATGCCTAAAATCCAACCATACAGGCCTAAAATCATCCAAAGTGATCTAAAATCCACCTTAAAACTGCCCAGTTCCTCCTAAAACCACTCAAACAGGCCCAAACCCCACCCAAATGGGTTTATATCATCCAAAGGGATCTAAAATCCACCCTCAACCCTCCAGATTTGGCATAAAATCAGCCAAAGGGGCATAAGATCCACCCCAAAAGACTTGAAATCACTGTAAGGGATCTGAAACCCACCCTAAACCTGCCCAGATTGGCCTAAAATCACCCAATTGGACCTAAATTCTCTGGGACCAAGACCAAACACAGCAGCAGAACTGGCACCAGCAGCAAGACTGAGACCAACACTGGAACTGGGATTGGTAGCGCTACAGGATCGGCACCGGGACTAGGACCAAGACCCAGACCAGAACCAGCACCAGAACTGGAACTGGGACAAAGTCTGACACTGGGACCAGCAACAGGAGCGCTTTGGAACTGGGACTGGCACTGGCAGCACTCCAGGACTGGGCTCAGGAACGAGACTGGAACCTGGCACTTGCACCGGGACTGCTCTGGGACCGGGACCAGGACCGAGACCAGGAGCCCACCAGGACTGAGATGGAGACTGTCACCGGAACCAGCACCGAGACCGGCAGCACTCTGGGGCCGGGACCGAGACTGAGATTGGCACTGGGAGCACTCCGAGACCAAGACCGGCACCAGTAGCAGCACTGGGTCCAGAACTGCTCTGAAACCGAGACAGAGACGGGGACCGGCACCGCTCTGCGATTGAGATTGACACGAGAACCAGAATCAGCACTGGGAGTGCTCCAGGACTGAGACGGAGATCGAAGCTGGCACCGGGACCAGGATCAGCGCCAGGATGACTCTGAGATTGGCAAAAGGATTGGAAATGGGATTAGAAATGGGATTGGAATTGGGATCCCTCCTGAAACTCTGCATTTGTTCCAAGGAGCTTTGGCTGCACCCCCAGGCAGGGCGGGACCCCCTTGGTTTACATCGATCTGGTGCAGCATCCTAGTCCATATGGTCCAGTTTGTATGATCCCAGTCTCTGCTCCTAATCCCTATGGTCCCAGCCTGTGAAATCCTGGTCCACGTGATCCCAGTTTGTATGGTCCTGCACAGCACACACTCCAAGGACCTGGAATTCTATTTCCCAGCCAGGAAAAGATATTCCTGCCCTTGAAGGCAAAGCTCTTAAGAAGGGGCCAAAAGCCAAGTGGAGCAAGATCCTACAGTGACATTTCACTGCCAGCCTTCAGAACTTCACCCATGGCTGTTGTAGCTCCTGCACTGGGAATTAAATTAGGGCAGGGTCTTTGGTGGCAGCTGTCCTGGCTCACGGGAGGCACTGAGAGAGAAAAAGAGCAGGCAAAGAGAGGCAGGAGAGAAAGGAGGACACAAACACAATCAGCTTAGAAGGTGGCACTCTGCCAATAGAACTGCAACTGACTGAAAATGAAAGGGACAGAAATCAGTAACTCTGAAAGTTTTATTTGCTATCAAATACATCCCAACCAGCCAGCCCCACATAATCCCCATCCCACCGCTCCAAATTGGGATCCCACTTCTCCCAATCTCCTTCCCACCCCATCTCACCATGCCATCGGTGGAATCAAGTGAGTTTGGCATGGGATTGAGTTTATTTTAAGGTGGGAACAAGCTATTTTGATGTGGGATTGAACCCATATGAATTAAAATTCAGTTGTTTAACACTACTATAAAAGTGTGTAAGCTGGATCAATAAATCGGAGTTTGATTTATTGATCCAGCTTACACACGTTTATTGTAGTGTTAATAAAGTTCATACATATTGCAAAACCCAAGCTCATTATTGGCTACAGATTACACACCAACCCCTCCTTTTGTTGTCAATATCTGTGGTTTCTTGTTGAGACTAACATTTGTTTTTCTCATCCTGTTGTTGACTTGTTATTGACTGTTCTCAAGGCCTCCATGTTTTCCATCATGTTTTTTCTCATCACTTTACTCAAGGACACGGTGTTTATTGTTTAAGGAAAAAGCCTGAGAACTTGCTGCTTATAGCTGCCTTTTACTTTTTAACCAGCTGTATATTTTCATGGCCCCTCTATAAGCCATGTCTGAACAAAATTCTGCAACAGTTGTTTTCAGTGGGATTCAGTTGTTTTGAGGTAACCCTCTTGGCTTTTGGAGCGCAAAGAGATGGAAAACACTGCCCAAAATCCCCCCACAGAACCCACAAATCCTCCAGAATATTGTCCCTAAACCATCAATTCTCCCTTAAAAACCTCTGAAATTGTGGAACTTTAGACATCTTTGATCAATTTATTTCATTTAACCCTGTTTTGGCTGTTTTTAAGGGATGAAGATGAAGCAAAAGAAAATTGAGGCCAAACCAAAAGGAGAGAAGCAGCCAGGTGTGCTCCCAGCATGGATCACAAGGAATGTAAGTGACCAGGGCGGTGCCCAAAGTGCCTCCTCCAGTGCAGGATGGAGCAGAAGCAGTGCACGAAGCTCTTCCCGCATTCAGGGCACTTGCAGGGATTCCCTTAGTGGTGCCTCCGTTGGTGTTGGGGCAAGTGAGAGCTCTGTGAGAAGCTCTTCCCACACTGGGGACACCCGTAGGGCCTCTCCCCAGTGTGGATGCGCCAGTGCCTGATGAGGTGGGAGTTGCGCTGGAATCCCTTCCTGCACTCGGGGCAGCGGAAGGGCCTCTCCCCTGTGTGACTCTGATAGTGTCGGAGGAGATGGGAGCTGGTCTGAAACCCCTTCCCACACTTGGAATACTCGTAGGGCCTCTCCCCGGTGTGGGTCTTCTGGTGCGTGATCAGGTGGCAGCTATGGCTGAAGCTCTTCCCACATTCTCCACACTCGTAGGGCCTCTCCCCGGTCTGGGTCCTCTGGTGCTGGATCAGCTCAGAGCTCCACCTGAAGCTCTTCCAGCACTCCACGCACGTGTGGTGCTTCTCCCCATCATGGAGCACCAGCTCCGAGCTCTGGCTCCATCTCCGGCCGCCTTCCCGGCCCAGGCTGGCTCTTTCCCCCTCAGATCCCCGCCAGCTGCGTTTGCAGCCCCTCCTCGTGCAGCATCTCCAGGGCTTTTCCTCCCCGTTGCCTTCCTGCACCGTGGAGCTGCTCAAAACGGCCTCTTCCACCAGGTTCTGCCATGGGCATTTGTCCTCCCTGCTCTCCATGCTCAGCTCCTGCTCTGGGGGAGGAAGGACAAGGACAGGATGGGATTTGCCTCTGTGCCACAGGCAAGGGCAAGGAGATTCCCCCAGGGCTGAGCTGCAGCCGGGGGCCATGCTGGGCTGGAGATGGAGCAGCAGAGGGGAATGGGGCACTGACTTCCTCCTCACCTGCCTCAGTGTCCCGGGGCATCTTCCTCTTCCTCACAGCCTGCCAAGGGTTGGCAATGGGAAATCCTGGTTTGGGAAAAACAAGGGATGAGCACAGTGAGTTTGAAGCACCAGTCCATCTCTACAAGTCACTGGACATCTGGGCTCCAGAAAACCTCCCAAACACCAAGATTCAGCCCTGAAAAAGCCTCCCAGGTACCTCGCCTCTGGTGTTACAGTGTTCCCCCCTGTCCCAGCTGCTGGGGTCACGCTTGGATTGGGGGTCCCCCTTGTCCTCGGTGCCCGCCCTGCCCAGGCTGCTGGGAGACCCAGCGATCCCAAAAGTTCCCTGTTTTCCATCTCCCCACTTTGGGATGCCGGGGCTGTTTGGGCTCCCGGGCTCCCTTCTCCCCTCATTCTCTGCTCTGGGCTGCAGCGGCTCCAAGGAGTCCCCCCTGCCCCTCTCCAGGCTCTTGAGGCTCCCGCCAATGGCGGCGCTCCCCCCTCTCTGGGCTCCCCACTTTGGGCTCCTGGGGGACACAGGGCTCTGCTCCTCCAGGCTGCCTCTGCCGGCAGCCGCCACCGGCACCCCCCGATGTCCCCTCAAGGGGCCTTTTCTGCTCAGTCTTGGACTGCTTCATTCTCCAAACATCCCCCCAAAAACCCCACCCAGGGACCCCCCGGGATATCTGGGCCGGGCTCCCCCTCCCTGCTCACCAGCACGACGGGGGGGGGGCGATGATCCCACAGGTGGGGGCTGCAAGTTCAGGCAGGGCTGCAGCGCATGGTTCCATCTGCTCAGCCTTGATCCGCCTTTGTCCCTCCTCTTCCTCTTCCTCCCGCTCCTCCTGTTCCATCCCCTCTCTTCCTCCTTCTCCCTCACCCCACCTCCTTCTCCTCTTCCATCCCTCCTCCCCCTCCTCTTTCCCCACCTCCTTCTCCTCCTTTGTCCCTCCCTTTCCCTCCCTCCTCCTCCTCCTCCCTGACCCTCCCTCCTTCTCCTCCTTCTTCCCTCCCATTTTACCCCTCCTCCTCCTCCTGCTCCTCCCTAACCCCACCTACTCCTCTTTTTTCCATCCTTTCTCGATCTCCGTTATCCCTCCTCTTCCATGCCATCCCTATTTCTCCAGTCCCGGTCCATGCGATCCCAGTTTGGTGGGATCCCAGTCCATAGAATCTCAGACCAGTTTATCCCAGTGTGTATGGCCTGGATCCATATGGTCCCAGTCTGTGCAGTCCCAGTCTATAGGATCCCATTTCACAGGGTTCCAGTTTATACAGTCCCAATCCCTACTTGGTCCCATTCCAGTTTATCACAGTCCAGTTTATCCTTTTCCGTAGGATCCCAGTGCAGGCTATCCCAGTCCAGTTTATCCCAGTCCATAGGATCCCAGTTCCATATAATCCGAGTCCATAGGATCCCAGTCTGGGCTATCCCATTCCAGTTTGTCCCAGTGCATAGGATTCCAGTCTCTCAGGCATCCGCTGAGTAGGGAACTGGGATAACTGGGGGGCACAGGATAGCGGGGTGGGGGGGAACTGGAAAACGGGGGAAACTGGGATAACAGGAAAAATGGGATAAGGGGGGAACTGGGATAATGTGGGGGACTGGGATAATGGGGGGAACTAGGAGAGTGGGATAATGGGGAACTGGGATAATGGGAATTCCGGGATAACAGAAATTCCAGGATAATGGGAATTCTGGGATCAAGGGGAAATTTGGGATAACGGGAATTCCAGTCTAACAGAAATTCCAGATCAATGGGAAATTTGGGATAACAAGAATTTTGGGATAATGGGGAAATTTGGGATAATGGGAAATTTGGGATAATGAGAATTTTGGGATAACATAAATTCCAGAATTATGGGAATTTTTAGATAATGAGGAAATTCGGGATAGTACATATGATCCCAGTCCCTATTTGATCCCAGTCCATATTTGATCCCAATCCATTTGATCCCAGTCCATATGCCAGTCTGTATTGCTCGGCATACATTCCAAAAGGCTGGAATTCCAGCTCCCAGACAGGAAAAGATGTTCCCGCCCTTGAAGGCAAATGGAGCAAAATCCTACAGAGACATTTCCCTGCCAGCCTTCAGGACTTCAGCTCCTGGGACTGGGAATTAAAATAATATTTGGGAAATAAAATAATAAATAATATGGGGAGGGTTTTTGGTGGCAGAGGGGTCAATTAAAACAGGGCAGAGGTCAATTAAATCAGGGCAGGGTCAATTGAATGAGGGCAGAATCTTTGGTGGTCACTGGGGCAATAAATCAAAGGAGGGTATTTGGTGGTCCCTGAGGCAATTAAATATACGGAGGGTCTCGGGGGGTGCCTGGGTCAATTAAATCAGGGGAGGATCTATGGTGGTCCCTGGGTCAAGAGAGACACTGAGAGAGAAACAAAGCAGGCAAAGAGAGGCAGGAGAGAAAAGGGGACACAAACACAATGAGCTGAGAAGGCGGCACTCTGCAAACAGAACTGCAACGGACTGAACATGAACGGGAGAGAAATCAGTAAGTCTGAAAATTTTATTTGCTATCAAATGCATCCCACACACCCAGCTCCACACAATCCTCATCCCACCGCTCTAACTGAGATCCCACTTCTCCCAATCTCCTCCCAGCCCCATCTTACTTAGGTGGCTGAGGAATCAAGTGAGTTTGGTACGGCACTGAGTTTTTTTGAGGTGGGATTGAGCCCTTTTGGGTAAGATCGAGTTGTTTTCACTGGGATTTCAGTGGTTTTCAGGTGACAGATCCATCTCTCTTGACTTTTCAAGTGCAAAGAGATAGAGAAGCTAGAAACATTAGGGCCAAAACAAAAGTAAAAGCTGCCAGGTGTGTTACCAACATGGATCACAAGGAATGGGAGTGACCAGGGCTTTGCCCAGAGTGCCTTCTCCAGTGGGGGATGGAGCTGGAGCAGCGCACGAAGCTCTTCCCGCACTCAGGGCACTTGCAGGGCTTCCCTTACCGGTGCCTCCGTTGGTGTCGGGTCAAGTCAGAGCTGCTGGAGAAGCTCTTCCCACACTGGGGACACTCGTAGGGCCTCTCCCCAGTGTGGATGCGCCGGTGCTTGACGAGGGTGGAGTTGTGCTTGAATCCCTTCCCGCACTCGGGGCAGCGGAAGGGCCTCTCCTCTGTGTGAATGCGATAGTGCTGGAGGAGATGGGAGCTGGTCTGAAACCTCTTCCTGCATTTATCACACTCGTAGGGCTTCTCCCCAGTGTGGATGCGCCTGTGCCTGACGAGGGTGGAGTTCCACCTGAATCCCTTCCCACAGTCGGGGCATTGGAAGGGCCTCTCCTCTGTGTGACTCTGATAGTGCCGGACGAGATGGGAGCTGGTCTGAAACCCCTTCCCACACTTGGAACACTTGTAGGGCCTCTCCCCAGTGTGGGTCCTCTGGTGCGAGATCAGGTGGGAGCGCTGGCTGAAGCTCTGTCCACACTCCCCGCACTCGAAGGGCCGTTCTCCAGTGTGGATCCTCTGGTGCTTGATCAGGCTGGAGCTCCCACAGAAGCTCTTCCCACACTCCCCACACTCATAGGGCTTCTCCCCAGTGTGGATTCTCTGGTGCTTGATCAGGTTGGAGCTCCACCTGAAGCTCTTCCCACACTCCCCACACTCATAGGGCTTCTCCCCAGTGTGGGTCCTCTGGTGCACAATCAGGTCGCAGTTCCACCTGAAGTTCTTTCCACACTCCACGCACGTATGGGGCTTCTTCCCATCATGGAGCTGCTCATGGAGTACCAGCTCCGAGCTCTGGCTCCATCTCCGGCCGCCTTCCCGGCCCAGGCTGGCTCTTTCCCCCTCAGATCCCCGCCAGCTGCGTTTGCAGCCCCTCCTCGTGCGGCATCTCCAGGGCTTTTCCTCCCCGTTGCCTTCCTGCGCCGTGGAGCTGCTCAAAACGGCCTCTTCCACCAGGTTCTGCCACAGGCGTTTGTCCTCCCTGCTCTCCATGCTCAGCTCCTGCTCTGGGGGAGGAAGGACAAGGACAGGATGGGATTTGCCTCCGTGCCACAGGCAAGGGCAAGGAGATTCCCCCAGGGCTGAGCTGCAGCCGGGGCCGTGCTGGGCTTGGAGATGGAGCAGCACAGATGGGAAAGGGGCACTGACTTCCTCCTCACCTGCCTCAGTGTCCCGGGGCATCTCCCTCTTCCTCGCAGCATCCCAGGGGTTGGCAATGGGAAATCTGGTTTGGGGAAAACAAGGGATGAGCACATTTGTAGGAGTGTTGAGGGGTAGGACGGTCGGGACGGATGGAAACGAGAGATCTCTGCAGCCAGGGCGTGGAAGTTGCGGTTTATTGCAAAGGGCCTGGGTGCAGGGCCCTGCTTGGAGCTGCCAGCCACAGGTCGGAGCGGGCCCGAGAGAAGAGCGGGGTAGAGAGGATGAGAGGGTGAGAGAGTAAGAGGGGAAGAGCGTAAGAGAATAAGCTTCCCATTACAATACAACAAATCTTCTTCTCTGTTGAATATTCTATTTCTCACTAACCAATCTAGTACAAGATACAAATCCTAGAGCATTTACATACAGCCTGCAAGAATCATTACATCATGATACTGTGCTACATTTTAAACCCTAAACACACCGCTTTGGACCCCTTCTGCTGAGCTATTAGGGTCTGCTCTGACCCCTGGGTCTGTCTGCACGCAGAGGGAATTGTTTCAACAAAAGGGGATTACCTTCAGTCAGGCCACACCATTGTTTTCCAGTTGTTCACTAAGGTATCTCAAAGCTTGCTTCCATCTCAATCTTGCTTAGAGTTTCAATATTCTCAAATTCTTTTGCCAATCATATTTATGAGGCTTCCCTGTTTCATCTTGCCCAACACATGTTCAGTTTGAATGTCCCTCTGCCCGAGTCCATCTCTACAAGTCACTGGCCACGTGGGCTCCATAAAAACCTCCCAAACACCAAGATCCAGCCCTGGAAAAGCCTCCCAGGAGTTCCCTGTCCCTGGTCCCTCCCCTCTGGTGTTCGGGGGTTCCCCCCTGTCCCAGCTGCTGGGGTCACGCTTGGATTGGGGGTGCCCCTTCTCCTTGGTGCCTGCCCTGCCCAGGCTGCTGGCAGTCCCAGCGATGCCAAAAGCTCCCCCCTCTTCGCTCTCCCCATTTCGGGATGCAGGGCTGTTTGGGCTCCTGGGCTCCCTTCTCCCCTCATTCTCTGCTCTGGGCTGCAGTGGCTCCAAGGAGTCCCCCCTGCCCCTCTCCAGGCTCTTGAGGCTCCCGCCAATGGCGGCGCTCCCCCCTCTCTGGGCTCCCCACTTTGGGCTCCTGGGGGACACAGGGCTCTGCTCCTCCAGGCTGCCTCTGGCGGCAGCTGCCACCGGCACCCCCTGATGTCCCCCTGAGGGGCCTTTTCCGCTCAGCCTTGGACTGCTTCATTCTCCAAACATCCCCCCAAAAACCCCACCCAGGGACTCCTCGGGATGTCTGGGCCGGGCTCCCCCTCCCCGCTAACTGGCACGATGGGCGCGGGGGGGGGGGGGGGGGGGGCGATGATCCCACAGGTGGGGGCTGCGAATTCAGGCAGGGCTGCAGCGCGGTTCCATCTGTTCACCCTTGATCAGCCTTTGTCCCGCCTCTTCCTCCCGCTCCTCCTGTCTTATCCCCACCTCCTTCTCCTTCTCCATCCCTCCTCCCTCTCCTCCTCCCCTGTAACCCCGCCTCCTTCCCTCCTCTTTCTCCTCCCCTTCCATCCCTCCTCGAGCTCCTCTGTGTTATACCCACCTCCTTCTCCTCTTCCATCCTGCCCCTTCCATTCCTTCTCCTCCTCCTCCTCCCCCTCCATCTCTGCCCTTCCCTCCCTCCTCCTCCTCCCCCAGCAGCAGCCACACCCTTGGTGCCCCGTTCCCGCAGCCCTCGCAGCCCGCGGCAGGAACGGGGATGGAGCCGGGACAGGTCGGGATGGGCAGCGCGGGGCTCTCGGCTGCTCCCAGCCGCTGCGGGCGGGGGGAAGCCGGCCCGGGCCAAAGGAGAGGCAAACTGGGCAAACTGGGGGCTGCACATCCAAACTGGGCCTTGCTGGGGACCCTGCCTGGCCACTGCCAGCCCTTGGGGCTCCTCTCGGCACATCCGCCAGGGGGGAACGCACACAGGGCTGGGGGATCCCAGCAGTGGCAGCACCACCAGGGACTGGGGTGGACTGGGCTGCACTGGGGTAACTGGGAATGACTGTGAGCATGCTGAGGGACACTGGGATATACCAGGAGTGTCTGTTAACCATCCTCGGGTGACTGGAACCACATTGGGAACAGGTGGGACCATGCTGGGGAGAACTGGGACACCATGCTGGGGGTACCTGGGAGCGAGTGGGAATGACTGGATGTACACTGGGGACAACTGGGCATGACTGGGACCATGCTGGCAGGGACTGAGATCATCTATGGAGTACCTGGCACTATACTGGGACAACTGGGATCACACTGGGAGGAACAGGGAGTGAGTGGAACCTTGCTGGGGGCTACTGGGATCCTACTGGGATCACAGTAGGAGGAGCTGGCCAATGCTGGGAGTGACTGGCATCATACTGGATCATACTGGCAGCAACTGGGACTGCACTGAGGGTGACTGGGAGTGGCTGTGAGCAACTGGCATCAGGCTGGAAGCTACTCAGGGCAGCTGGGAATGACTGGGAACATGCTGGGAGCAACTGGGATACACTGGGAGAGACTGAAACCACAAAGGGGGTAAATGGCAGCAACTGGAGCCACACTGGATGATCATGGGAGCAGCTGTGCCCATGCTGGGATCCTACTGGGATCCTATGGAAAATGGCTGGGATCATACTGGGAGTGACTGGGAAGGCGCTGGTTCTGACTAGAACCATACTGGAAGTGACTGGGAGCAACTGGGCCCACACTGGGAGTGCCAGGGAGTCACTCTGAGCATGACTGCAATAACGCTGGGAGTATCTGGGACTGACTGGGGTCATACTGGGGGTGACTGGAACCATACTGGGAGTGACTGGGAGTGGCTGTGAGCAACTGGGATCATGCTGAAAGCAACTGGGGGGAACTGGGAGTGACTGGGAGCATGCTGGGGCTGACTGGGATATACTGGGGGAGACTGGGAATCACTGGGATCATACTAGAGGCTCCTGGGATAATCCTGGCATTGACAGGGAGCAACTGGGATCATAATGGGGGCCACTGGCATAATACTGGGAGTGACTGGGATCATCCAAGAAGCGAGTGGAACCATACTGGGAGTGACTACTGCTCCTGCTGGGGTCACCCTGGGAGCCACTGGGATCACACTTTGGGCAACTGCTAGAAACTGGGATCATCCTGGAGGCAACTGGGAGGAACTGGAAAAGACTGGGATCATTCTGATCTAACTAGAACTGTACCAGGCCAACTGGGATAAGCTGAGACTGTCTGTGACCATACTGGGGGGACTGGAAGCACACAGGGAACAGCTGGGACCATGCTGGGGGCAACTGGGAGTGAGTTGGACCTCGGTGAGCGGGACTGGGACTATTCTAGGGACAACTGGAACCATGCTGCGAGGAACTGGGAACAACTGGAACTACTCTGGCAGCAACTAGGATCATACTGGTTTGACAGTGGGAGCAGTTGGATCCATGCTGGGTGAGACTGGGATCACACTGAGGGTGACTGGAGTCATACAGGGATTGACTGGGAATGGCTGTGAGCAACTGGAATCATGCTGAAAGCAACTGAGGGGAACTGGGAGTGACTGGAAGCATGCTGGGGAGGACTGGGATATACTGGGAGAGACTGGGAATCACTGGGATTATATTGGAGGCTCCTGGGGTCATGCTGGCATTGACAGGGAGAAACTGGGATCACACTGGGGGCCACTGGCATCAGACTGGGAGTGAGTGGAGTTACACTGCAAGTGACCGGGATCATACTGGGAGTAACTGGGATCATACTGGGACTGACTGGGATCATACTGGGAGTGACTGGGATCATACTGGGAGTAGCTACAATCGGACTGGGATTGCAGGGGGTGTGATTGGTCCCTATCTGGGGGGTGCTGGGAGCTGCCAGGCGCATGCTGGGAGCCGACTGCGCAGCCACTGGGAGGAACTGGGAGCAACTGGGAATGGCAGGATGCAGCTGCAGCAGCGGCAGCTCCCCGGTGGCCCCGTGCCGGTGCCGCTCGTGGTGCCGGCTCTGGCTGCGCCGAGATCCCGCTGGAAGGGGATCCCAGCCAGGGACCCCATGGACACCAACCGGGGGAACCCCGGGCCGGGCTCCGACAGCCCCACGGGCAGGGAACGCTGGGACAAGAGAACTGGGGAGACACCGAGATTTGGGGGCGGGGGGGCACGGGGGAACCAAAGGAGGAACCAAAGGGAGAGCTGGGAGAGCAGGGAACGGGGTTCGGGGGTTCCAGGACTAAGAAAAGGGGAGGCTGCGGTGGGTAGAGGGGGCACGGGCTGGGCTAAGGGGGTTCCTGCATGCAGGAAAGGGAGCTCCAAGGAGCCCAGGTGTTCCCATTCCCAGCAAAAGGTGGGAAAACCCGGGATGGCCGGGAATAAGGGTCCCAGGTGTCCTCGGTGTGAAGGAAAGGAGGGGCTGGGGGCTGGGAAAGGCAGGAACTGGGGTCCAGGGGGTCTCTGCGGGAAGGAAAAGGGGGCTCTAGGGGCTGGGAGAGGCGAGATGGCCGGGAAGGGGGTGCGGGGTGGATCCCCTGCCCAGGAGTGGGGGTGCGGGGGTTGTTGGTGTCAGATGAGGGGGTGCAGGGTGGATCCCATGCCCGGGAGTGGGGGTGCGGGGGTTGTTGGTGCCGGATCAGGGGGTGCAGGGTGGATCCCATGCCCGGGAATGGGGATGCGGGTGATCCCGGTGCCCAGGAATGGGGGTTCAGGAACCTCCGGTGCTCCGGGATGGGAGATCAGAGAGTCCCGGTGCCGAGGTCCCCTTCAGCTCCCGCCGCCCCCCCGGGGCCCCAGGATTGCCCCCAGCCCCAGCGCTGGAGCCATCGCGCTGCTCCTCCTCACTCCCAGTGTGATCCCAGTACGGTCCCAGTAGAACTCAGTCACCCGCGAGCTGCTCCCAGGATGATCCCAGTACAGCCCAGTCACTCCCACTGCTGCCATCCCCCCCAGCCCTCGCTCCATTCCGACCTATCCCGGCTCCATCCCCGCTCCTTCCGCCGGCTTCGAGGACTCCGGAACCGGGGGAGGATGAGGAGGGAGGGAGGAAGAGGCGGAG